AAGGAAAAATTTACATATTGCAGTAGAGATAACGCAGGATAGCACATTATGTTCTCAAAAATGTTCAAACGATGACCTACGTAATAAGGTAAGTTGTATATTTTAACAAGGTAAGTTATATGTTCCATATAATATGTAAAAAAATGAAAATATGTAACATATAATTCATGAATTTTTGACCGTAATATAGAAATGATGCGATTTGTAGTATAGCATGGTATCATCGCCATTATCGAAAACGAAATGCAGCAGAGAAGTGGAAACGTCAACGGGTTTGTATATATATTTCCCTGTTTTCTATAGTTTAAATTTTCGGATGAAAAAAACTAGTAAAAGTCATTACAGTGTAATTGCTGAACATATTGTATTTCGAGAAAGATGAAACATTCAATCTGTGATTATGTAGATCATCTACTAAGCCATTTGATTATGAAAACAAATACTTTCGTCCGAAAATGTCGCAAACAGTAGAATTTTCCTCAGTTGCAGTACTTACCTGCATGACATATATTTCGGTATTCAGTTGCAATTTTGTTTATATAAAGATAGTTCGTCGAAATCAAAGAAGACTTACTAAGATGTTTAATAGTTTCAAATACATTTTCAGGCTAAGAGTGCGATCCATAACTTAACCAGTAATTTATTAATTTGTCAAATGTTAGGAATTTTAAATAAGTCACCTTTGCTTTGCATTTGTGTTTTATGCAATCATTGAGATTTATTTTTCTTTTTAGATCTTTTATTTTTAAACTTTCAAAACCAAATTTTCGTGGAATGATTAATTTAAGAATCTGCGAACGTTGGTCCATTTTCGGAAATTAAAAGAAATATAATGAAGAAACAAAAAGATTCCATCACTTTCGATGAATTTGACAGTGCGCTACCATCATAAATGTTACTTTTTGGTTTTCTTTGTAGAATGCTAATAGTTTAATTTCCGATACTTCTCTTTTCCGTTTTCCTTTTAATTTTTGGTATTTGTGGGTTTGTAAATTAAATTATAAGTAATAAAAGTGATGCCTATAGTAGCAGTATCATAATTTTAATAGCTGCTTGTGTTTACGCAGTACCATAATTAAATCACGTTATCAGCATCAGTGGAAATAGTAAATTGTTTGAAATCCTTAATCATAATCTTATGCTATTCTCGTATTGAGGAATAACAAAAGCAGAAAAGAAAAATTTTAAAAAGAAAGAAAAAGTTTTAGTTTAAAAGCTTAGAAAAAAACTTCCCCAAAGTTTAAAAGTTGATCAAGAAGGCACTAGATATACTAACTTTCTTAGATCGAATCAAATCATTATTGCTTTTAAATGACGAACACTCTGAATAAGCTGATTGTTTGGCTTGTTAAGTCTTTGGAATTAGAGAAAATGAGGAGTATGCATCATGGTTATACTTCTTAAGGTCCGGTTACACTAGACTGTGGTTGGTTGGTGTGTTTTAGAGAAGCTCTATCATAACTTCTGTGCAAATCAGTGTCATCCGCAATCACACTCAACCAATGCTGTTACATTTTCAGCACATTAATCCATAACAAGTTGTGATAATGGTTCCAGCAAAAGTATTATTAGTAATAATAGCAGCCGTGTGATCTGGAATTGCGGGTTAGGGTTGTTTTTATTTGATGTGGGAACGATTTTAATGTTCTTTCCACAAAGACAAATAAAATAATGGTTGCGACAAATCGTGACGCCTCAGCATTTTCGGTTGTAAAATATTTAACCAAATATGTCGCAACAGCTGTTCGTTTGGTTCACGTTCGAAGCGTTTCATATAACTGGGTGGTGAAATTTCTTTGGCTCGTAGATTACGTGACATTGTTACCGGCTCATCTAATCTGTAAGATATCACTTATTTGCTTTGATAAATAAAACTTGAAGTGTTCTTTCTGCACATTGTTTCTTCAACAACTATTTCATAGGACAAATGTTACTGGTCCTTCGTAGTAAGTAGAAAGAGACACAAGTCTAATCGAGTACGATATAGGTAGGTCCTGGGAAATGAGAATGTTACCTTCTCTAAAATGTTGTCAAAGAAAATTAGGGATTAGTTCACAGTAAGGCTGCTAACCGAATGTGAGATACTTATTGATTAATGTAGTTTTGGCATAGCGATGATATTCCGAACTACACTAAAGTATGATAGTGATAAAAACTTAAATTTAAACGAACCCTTCATTGAATCGCCAAATGAATGTATGAACGAACTGCACATGGAAAGCAGCAACAGTAAGAAAAAGTAATGTGAATATTAGGCTCATTAGAGTCGTAGTGAGTAATCACACAGTACTCGTGACCTGGTCGCAGCACTATTCTCTATAATCCATTCAGGTTGATGCATTAACTCCTAGAGCACTTATTTGCGTAGCTATTAGGACATGAAGTACTTGGATGAAATACTGTGTTTTTTCATAGTTTACTTATCATACAATGATAGCGCAATTATTATAACAAAATCTTTGATCTGTGATACAATAACAGGTTTTTATCACGTAAAGTAAGGTTATTTTCTTCAGATATTATAGGGAATCCGATGATTATAAGGGAAAATAAGCCACAAAATGAACAGAAAAAATATAATGAAAAAATCAATTTGCTCTTTTCAACTGATTGTTTTTCAATTTGTTCATTGAATACTTTTAAAGAAACAATACTTTTAAAAAGAGATATCTATTTCCTTCTCTCTCTCCTTTGGTTCATGTTATTCTCCTTTAAGAGTAACATGCAATTTTCATCGATGCATGTTCAGATTTTTCTAATTATAATGACATTCTTTTTGCCAATTGAAATGTTTTTTTTTTTTTTTTTTTTTTAAATTATCTCGATCTTGAATACATATCTATCCAATATTACATAGAGAAAAATGTTGAGATTTTTGCTCGACAGTTACTATCTAAACTTTCTGTATACAATTATTTCGTAGTAGGAAGAATTTTTAAGTTTACCCTAATTTAAAAAAAAATTTTTTTCTGGAAAGGAAAAAAATAAAAATGCACCAAACAGATTTTTTAGAACTATAAATCATCATCGACAAAAAGCCTCTCTACTCACAAAAACGGTTTGCTGCTGTTTCAAAATATTAGTAGATTTACCTTTTGAAAATAAGACTGAGTGTTATGATCATTTTCCTACCTTTTCTTTCATCGGAAGGCGCCAAAAAGAGAAAAACTATTTAAAAACGGTTCACACGTTTCAGATAGGCAGATGATTTGGAATCCAAGTTCATCTATGCGCTCAATTAGTTTCACACTGCACACAAAGGAAAGGTCACTGCTACAAATCTGTTACTTTCGAATTTGCAGAATTAGCAGTGAAAATTGATTTGAAAACGACATGATCCACATTGCCAATTATGATCTTCTTTATGGTTACACTCCTTTGTAGAATTTTAGGTTCAAATATTGAGTAAGAAAACTGTATACAGTAATAAATAATGCTATAGTGGAAAGAACAAGAAGGTAACGTATAAAATGAAGGGACAACTTATAACAGAGAGTCAAAAGTTCTAAAACGGAACGTTATTAGGTTTCAGTATGCTAAAGAGTTATATCGGCAAACACAATTGGGAGAATAACATCTTTCAATCTTTTCAGCCTTTTTGAGAGTAGGAATGAAATAACTTCGCTTATACTTCCTTCAAGGTTTTTCTAAATCTATACAAGACTGGAAAGTTCACGCAGGGGTTTCTAAAGATTTATGATCAAAGCCGTTTTGAAAAAAGAGAGAGGGCTATGGAAATAACATTGAAGAAGTAAGCAAGCAATGATTGTTGAGGACCCATACATTGTATGCTCATTTTAAGTTTTGAAATTTTTATCTGAAAATTATGGTCTAGCAACTTCAGCAATCAGGTCATTTGATGAAGTTAGAACTTCTATATGCAATTCACATATGTGTCATTTTTCATTTCATTGAATTATCGTTAATTAGGAAGGATCCACTTATACCATTTCATCTCACTATTTCATTTTGAAAGTAAAATATATACTATTGGTGATAGTAGGCTCTTTTGAGAAAATAAAACAAATTAGTTTGGATTAACAACAAAAACTCGAATAGCAAGATTGTGTCAGTAACACGAAAAAAGGATTTAAATAGACAACATCATTTCACTTTTCTCTAAAAATATTATTAAAATGAAGATGATACATAGATCTGGTGAAGAATTATCGCGAGAATGTCCAAACACATGTAGCACAATACGTATCCAGTCGTTGGCGTGAAATATATTGTCATAACAATTTTTGCGCTTAAAATGAGACAGCTGGGCAATTCATAAGCAATTTAGGAAAATAGTAGCTGAATTGCAAGAATAGTCACAAATCATCATTAACAAAAAGAAAAGAACTTTCATGGAAAACTACAACATTGCAAATAAAAAGTATGAAACAATTTGAACTTTTCCTAAATTACTTAGTATTAGAAGAAAGAACTGTAGACTAATTCTTATATTAAACTAATCACTCTCGAAAAATTGACATTAAAATAAGGGACAATTCTTCGGCAACCAAAGGAATAAACAACAATTTTGCGAATGAAGTATGTTCTGAATTCTTTAAGTGGAAAATTTCACTTCATCTCTTTGATTTCTTCATAATTTCACCACAAACAATCTTTGCCGACAGAGAGAGAATCTGAATTACTGATAACCGATTTCTCAATTCCGAAATCCATTTAGTGAAGAGAGATGAGTGAAAGAAACAATCAACATACCAGTCAATGCTTGGCTGCTCATATTATAAACAATGGAATTTGATGCCTGAGACTTAGCAAACAGATTTATCAGTTGAAGCTTAAAAGGAAAGAATTCCAATATCAAATTAATTAGCATATCGTTATTCCTGTGCCTTATTATCATTATTAAAGCTGATAGGAAAAACTAAAACGTGATCGAAACGAAAATCATTATTAGAATGTAAAACATAATCAGCCCATCTCTTTCAATATCACCAGCTTGCATTCAAAACTGACCAAGAACACAGCAAGTATTAAGCATACAATCACCATCGTTCAGTACAACAAATCTGAAAGAATGAAGGATGCAAAGTGAATTTCTTAAATAGCAAAACAAATTTTCTATAACTCAGCACTACCCCTAGAAATGTTGCTGTAAATCATCGTCCTCCCTGCTGTAATCATCAGTAAACGGAAGTGGCATCAATCGTAAAAGTTAAAAGTTTGTCAGTTCATACGCAAAATTTTGAAATCAAAAATGCACAAGCATTAACAAACAACAATAAAATGACATCAGTTATAACAAATAAAGTCCCATCACTTTCAAATGTAGTCATAAATGTCCTCAATAGCGTGATTGCTCTATTGCTCCCTCTCATCCTCCTTTAACTAACCATCCATTTCATCAAGATTCTGAGTGAATTTGTTCCCAAACGATATCTAATATTGTTTCCTGTACCATTAACTTCCAAAAATTGGTGCAATTCTACATCGATACTGCTGTTATCACTTCAATGATAATATCTTTTGTTCACTCATCGATGAATGAACATGAAAAAGATTACACAACATTATATATTTGTCAAGAAATCTTACAATAACATTAATAAAAGATTAAAAAACTACAATACACAAAATTAGAAATCCTACCCCGTCTCTATGAAACGAACAGACAATGCTAAGATATTATAATACCGTGTGGATAACATAATGGCTAAATAATTGAACAAATGTAATAGCAGAGAGATAGCATAACATAATTTTGTTGATATGCTGGCAGTATTTCTTTGCAAGGGTTACGTTTCTTCTTATTTTTGTTTGTTGTTTTTTTCAATGCTTTTTTTTTGCAAGCATAGTACAATATGAGCAATAAACAGACTTACAGATTTTCCAGTTCCATGTAAGTCCAACTCAACAACTCACAACAAATGACCAACCACTCTTCTAGACAACTGGAAACTCCCTGCCTTAACTTTCGGGAAGGTTCATTTGAAGTACTGCAGTGATGCCGATGACCTGCTGCAAAATAACAGGCCGTATTTATGCAAGTTGAATTTAGAATGGGTTTCGTTGGAACCATTATTTCTCCATCTGTCTTTGTCTCCGGTAGTCTGTAAAATGTATGCATCGGTCATTGTAACAAGGAAATTATTTCGTAAGTGGGATAGTGACCACTGGGTTGAAGTATAAATATTCGGGATAGTATCTTGAAAGACTAAATGCGATGATTTAGTCTTAGTTTTTCCTCCGTTCTTGAACGGAATTGGTACTCTCTTCAGTTTATCTTTGTTTCCTAGTAGATAAGCCTAATAGTAAAAAAAAGAAAATAATATACTTGTTACCACTCGTCATCATGTAATCCGTGCTTAAGTATATTGCTTCAGATATTCTACCATTTACGTTCAAGATTTTGCTTATTTGCAGCACCTCAAAATGATCTAAAAGTGATATGGAGGAACTAATGAAACTGTCAGTAGGTATGTGCTTGTTTTCTTTGTTCTTCATTTTGATCAGAAGTAGATCTCGTTGAATCTTATACAACTTGTAGAAGTGTGTTTATTATGTTCTGATTATATATATATTTTTTTTTTGGGTTCTATAACGAGCGATGATAAACGCAAAGTTTTAAATAATTCGGAGGATTTCAGCAGTGAAAGTAGCTTAGAATCAACGACTGCTTGTGAAAATCACAAGGCGTTAGTTTCTAATTCTCTCTTATATGTTCACTGTTTCATCTAATCCGTGCCTGTATTGAATTTTTTCTAAATTTAAAATAACTTAGACATTTATCACATCGCAAATATGTGATTAAATATTGTCTTTTTTTTTTCAGGATATTATACATTGATTTAGAAAATGAAAAGAAGGCTCAAATAATTTGTAGAACTTTAGCAGTCGACAAAGAACCGTCGAGGAGCACAGCTAAACGAACATACAATGTGCAAGGGCATCATTTGGTTGTGTATGTTAATATGCTCAGTTTTTCTTAGATTTGAAACTTTGTTCTCGTGTAATATATTTTTACCCCATTTGGTTCATTATTGTCTCCTCTCTCCTTCGGTTTATTCTCGAATTTCTTTCTGTTTTTTTCTTTTTTCTCATGGCATAAATACGCAAAGTTTCGAAATTTCGAGTTTTAGTGAAGTCGTGAGTCTGGATGCGAAATACCTTCAAAAGTCAGTCGACAATTTATTCGACATGTGTTATTTAGCTAGACAAACAATCGACGAAGTTACAAGATATCATTTACAAGTATCCAATAGTTTCACTGATGCTCTTGATAGGAGTTGATATGTTGCATGCATTCTGAATATGAATGCATAATTGTTTTAGCGTCAGTTGTTTCCACATAACTATTTTGATAATGTCATATTGTTGCAGAATAGAGCGTTGTTTTTATACCAGTAATGCACATGATTTTTCAAATTCATCTTGTATACCACGTAAATACCTCGATGAAAGTTATCAGATTTTGTATTTTGCTGTTATGAATGCTTCTAGATAATAATAAATGACAGCATTTCAACCATATCTTTAATTACAAAAGTTAACTTTCTTGGTGTTCCGTATTTTACGTGAGGAATACTTTGACAAAAAGCTATTTGTGAGAAATCAGTGTTAAACTCAGTTGGAGGCCGAAGCTGCGGTGCATTCATCTTATAGAAGTTGCAGTCGTTATCATATGAGAGATTATGCTACGATGTGTAAGTTCTAATTGTTAGGATAAACAAGGGGAAGAAGTGGTTAGGTTAGTGTTTAGAATCGAGATCTCTTAATACTAAGAATCAGTTGGATCAAATAAAGTGGACAGATGGGAAGGAAAAACCACATCGATGCTGTGTTTCAGACTTGAGCTCTTACTCTCATGTTATATATCCATTCTTTTTTTGAGGTTGAGTTGAATTTGATATGTTCAAAGGATTAAAATCAAAGTTGGAAGATGAAGCGAGAAGGTTGCATGCAACAGTATCACAGTACAGCGAAAATATTGCCCAACAAGTACGATCCGGTGTGGTATGACTTTTCTGTAGTTTCAAATACAGTGAAGATGAAGTGGTGTTCATGTCATCAAGAAAATATTTTTTTAGAACGACATTGGAAATGACGCAGGTGGCCACGCACATGATACCAGGAGGGATTCTTCACTCTTCTCTCCAAGTCTTTTTGTTGATGACTCTGGAAATAATTTCGATACAGAACAATTGGTACTTTCATTCTTATTTTCACATTTTTTAAGAAAGGAGGGGGATTAATAGAAGTTTTCTAGAATGAGCAGAATCCGAATAGTTCGGCTATGATGCAAGAAATACCCGAACAATATTTGCTCAGTGAGTCACAACAGCGACATAATTCAAGTGGTTCTTTCGAAAGCGAGAGGTTGTCAATGTTTTACTATGGCATGTCGCATTTTCCGTGTCGATAGTTTAACGGTCTTTGGTCTGTTTGATGTATAAATCAAACTTTCAAATACTTTCAGAGGGTAGTCTTAATACGGTCACAAATATTTAATTAAATCATTGAGCTGACACGTTTCAGCTCATTCAGTAATTTATTTACTGCTATACCGGGAATGTTAAGTTCCGGTCATCGGCTCAATACAATAACATCAGATGTGGAGAGTGAAAGTGTGACTACCTCATCCTTGTTTCAAAATGCTTCAAAGGAACAGGTTTTATAAAATCACATTCTTTTTTTTTCTGTTTTTAGAAGACATGAAAAAAATTCCGAAGAACTAGACCAGAATTTCAAACTTTTTTAAGTAGTGGTGATATCGAAAGTCTGTCAATCGCAGTTAGTATCAGATTCCATCTTGAGGTTTTTAAACTGGAATTTTCCTCACTTTCATTCTATCAGATCATAAACAAAACGAAATGTATGGTTGGTTTTAGATCTCAACAGTTTTACATAAATTGCAAGGTCGTGCGGCAAATTACCAGGATAAATATCGACGACTTATGCAAATGTACAGTGAGTTACTGCGGGAGAACGAAAAATATCGGGTGAGAGCGTGCATTTTTGTGCTATGAAATTAAGAAGCACAGATATTAACATGTTACTCCATTTAATATTTATAGTACTGAAAAATTTCTTTAATTTACAATATTTACTGTAGGAAATTCACTGTAGGAAAATATATAAATGCAAATAACAATGATAATTTATATCATTGTGTAAAGTGTAAAGTAAATCAAAAAAATATTTTCCCAATAAATTTGATAAGATCAAAACATTCTATCTCACAAAAATAATGAATTTCTTTGTTACAGTATGTATTATCGGCTATGCAGGATAAAGCACTCGACAGAATTGGGAAATTACGCGAAAAAAATCGCGAGCTAACAGAAAAAATGCACAAAATGGAGCTTGAAAGAAAAAACAAGGCAAGAATACCTGATCAGTATAAATTAAAAGAATATTAACAATAAGCGAAGAAGCTGATATAACAGATTCACTTTGTCCTTTTGTCAAATTTTAATTATCTTGAAATATTCAGTGTCAATTCCTGTAGTGTAGTCTATTGTGTTGAATTAGTAGAGCTTGAAATGAGTTTTACATGCTAGAGATGAAAAATAATAGTATAGAGTTATTTGTAGGAAGAAAGCAAAGCAGAAGATAGGGTAAGAGAATTACAAGAACTAGTGGAAAAAAATCGCTTATGTATAGAAGAAAAGGAAGAAAGAATTCGACAACTAACAGAAGAAAATGAAAGACTAATAAGAAACACTGTAACATCGTATGATGAAGTAAGCGCCTATTTTCACTGCTTCCTAATATGTATAGCTAAAACGTGAAATTAATGTTTTTCAGTCGAATTATTTTAGTGTTTTCCGGTCATCTCATATTATTATTAAACAACTGAACTAAAGTTTTTGGCTTTTTATTTTATTATAATAGAAGATTGATGAAGTGGTAGTGATTCCTTCTAAATTTCTTTATCCTTTTTTTTTTTTTTTTTTAAAGGAAGCTATGTGTTCAAAAAAAAAATTGCCTCTGTTCTGATTGAGAGTGATAAGCGTTGAATTCACCAGGATTATGGAATGGATTAGTCATGATCTTGAGTTAATACGTTGTAAAATATCTGTCATAAATTATCATTTTTAAAAGAAATTGAGAATAGATTATTTAAAATGTTGCAGCAAAAAATTAGCGATTTAGATGTTCGACGAGTTACTGCGGAATGGAAGGGTCGTGTAGATTGGCTGGAGGAGGAATGGTCTAAACGCTTTTCTGATTCCGAAGAAGCGTTAGTATTATTATTTAGATGAGTAAATGAGTAATATAAAAAAATGGATAAAAAACAAAAAAACAAAAAAAACAAAAAAAAAAGGATAAAACTATAATATTGTTGCAATAAGGGCCAATACTATTGCAGCAGTACACTTGCAATAGCCAAGGTGAAGGCAGAAATGCACAGAGCTTTAGAGGAGAAGGATGGCGAACTACAGATAGCTCGTGCCAGATGCAAGGTTCTCGAATTAAATGGTAGTATTTTTTTCTTGTATCATTCGTTTAGCAAATTTCATTCTCTTGTTTCTTTCCAAATGTTGGCTTCTTGTAGAGAATAGAAATTTTATGTGTAGGTGACTTGATTCTTTAATGTTTTCAATCCTCCAGAGATCTGTAGTAAACTAAACAATAAAAAAAACATAAGATAGTTTTCATTTTTAGATGGTTGATTGGAAAATTAAGGGTTTTCGTCATTTTTTTATTTTTCTGTAAACAGATTTTTATGAAATCCGGTCGCTCTACTTCCGATTAGTTTTGTATAAGTGCTGCTTTACACTGTACACAAACTAAGAAAAACGCTCCGCATACATATGAACGCTTAGACTCTGATATCGGCAGTGAGTGAAGAGAAAACCTTCGGACTTCTTATTTGATAGAAAAATATTGTTGTATCTTGAAGGCTGCTTTCAAAAAGATTTTTTTTTACAGGGGCAGAAATACAAACGCAAATTGATGAGTTGAAGGCAGCTGTAGATGCATTGGAAAATGAAAAAGCAGATATGGTAAAAAAACTATCGGAGGCGAAGCAACAAGGTGTTAAAGCAATACGATGCGAAGAAGAGGCAAAACGACAAGAGTTAAGGAGAGAAATGGAAAGAAAGCGGGCAGAGGAAAGAGAGCAAGACGAACGACTTTTTCAGGAAATGATTATGAAAAATGTATGTTTATCTCTTCATTGAGTATACGTAGTTAATTGAAATATTTGTGTAGCTTTTAGTAGTAACTGGCTTATTTTCGCATGTTTTCCAGTTATAGGTAAATTTTTTACACCTGATCATCTCGTTTCGAGATTTCACTTTCAAATATATTATTTAAAATACAGTGAAAATTTTACAGTTATGAACATTCTGCTGGATTTCAGGATGAGCAATGGGCTTTGAAATTTAAAGAGCAAGAAGAACAGATGCAGCTGGCTATCGAGGAACGAGAAATGCAAAAAGTGGCAGCTGTAATGGAACATGATCGAAAGAATGAGAATTTGGGCGTTCAAGTAGAACAGCTCACTGCGGTTGTTCCATATTTTATAAGTTTCAACACGCAAACTGCAGTGAATAATTTTACGTTAGCTTGTTAGGACATGCTCTATTTTTTAATAAAAGATATATAAGCAAGCAGGACAGTCTCAGAATTTGCATGAGCTTACGGCTAGCAAATTTTTTAGGAGAAATTGCATTTGAAGTCAGTTTTGGATGATATGAAAGAAAGGCATCGACAGCAAGTGGAAGAACTATCTATTTCTATTGAATCCAATAAAGAAAGACATCAACAGGAAATTAATGAAATCAAAAATAAAGAGGAAGAAGTCGTAGCAGCGCTCAAAAGAGTAAATTATATACGAATAAACTGTTATTTGTATATTAGCTTTAAAACTTTTGAGATAAAAAATGTCTTGATGACATCCGGGCGACATTTCAGGATTTTGAAGCGGCTATGAAATCAAACAAACAGCTTCAAGATGAACTGGAAGGATTGAAGGTCAGCAAGCAGGAAACAGTGGAAGGAACTGAAAATCGAAATGAAGAACTTGTTAATGAATTAATAACGAAGCGGCAGATAATCGATCATTTAAGGGTATGAACGTTAAAGCACTTCTCTTATCCAGACTATGGTCTTTTAAAAATGTGCTTGTAAATTTTAGTCATGTCAGAAGGGTTTTCTAATATGTATTATTTCATAAATGTTATGCATTATAAAAGTGCTCAGGCTAGATGAGTTTAGAACAACTTCCTGTGTCGTCACGTTTGATTTTCTAATGTTATCACGAGATATTTATTTTCCAGTTCACTACCCTCTAATTTTCAGAAACAACATGAGAATGAGATAAGTATAATGCGCACGGAGATGTCAATACTGAAAGAGAATTATGAAAAAATTTTGAAAGAGAATGATTCCAGAAAAGAATTAATGCAAAAAAATGCCGAAATGATAGAATTGAAACAAGAACTTATCGAGTTCAGCCAAAAGTGGGTTTTGCTTCTAATGTTCTTGTGATACCATTTCACATAGTGACACGTTTTCATTAATATATCACTTTTTCGGAAAAATTATAGAAGTTAAATAACTCCTTCAGTTTAAGCTACATTTTTGATCTCAAACCACATTGTTAACATTGAAATGAAACTTATAATCGAAATTAAATAAATTTTATATCACATATATGTTGCGAGACAATAACAACAATAACGACCTTTTTTTCGATTATTTATATTAAGAAATAAAACAAAAATTTACATGAATATCAGCAAAACAAAAAAGAAAAAAAAAAGATTTACATAAATATCAAAATCAACGAAGTCAAACTATCCTATGCAAATAGTTCTATATATGTGATATCGTTGGAGGTCTAATAATACAGCCTAATACGCAAATTTTACATTGTGAAACAAATATTTTCATGGTGCTTTCTGATTTGTTTTACAAGCACTATTAATACAGTTTTGTTGCTCCTTTTGTGACATTGTTTGTTTGTATTCAATATTTTCTATGTCTTTTTTTTTTTGAATGTGTAATCTTATTTGTTGTTACAGACTGTCAAATAGAGATAAAACGATAGAAGAACTTCATGGAAATTTGGAACAGAAAACAGCAGCCATTGCGAATCTGGAATCTGAGAAAGAGATTCTGAGTACAGAATTAGCGTCTAGTCAGGAACTATCAAAAATCCATCAACATTTGCAGGTTCTTTTCCTTTCTATTATTATTATTTTCAGTGTTTATTTATATTCTATCATTATAATATTTCATTGTAATGTTATCAATGTTGCCGACTTCCATACTTTATTTAACCGCCTAAGTTTTCCTTTTTCCTGCACTCTTAGCAAATTCGTAAATAGCGCTTTAATACATTGGAGACACATTTTCTTCCCTATCTTATATTCTGCCGTGCATCTAAACAAAGGGATAATTTTTTTGGTATTTACGTATTTTAGTGCACTTACACATTGAATGCAGTTTACTGATAAAATTTAACTTTCCTCAGCAACAACTAAAGGCAGCTCAGGCAGAACGTGATGAGATCGAGAAAAGATATTCGGAAATGGAAGAAAGGATGCAAAAGGCTGCGTATGAGCTGGAAGGTTTTATTTTTTATATTAGTATGATTCTCTTTTTTGTTAACACATTTTTGAATTGCTTGCTTTGGGCTATGGAACAACGAGAAATATTGAGTATGGAAGATTATAAGTTGTAGTAGATCGACGAGCTCTTCAGTTAGAAAAGGAGAAGCTAAACAATCATCAGTGGATTGAAACAGAGGTGGACAAAAGTGAAACAGAAGAGATGAATTACAGACTTTTGCAGGTTTATTATTATTATTTTAGGGATGAGATTAGAATTTTTTGCGATCGATTGTGGATTTGAAATGAATGGCTTTCTGATAAGGATTTCGAAGATAAATAGTTTTTTTTGTAATTCATTCTTCTTATTTTCTTTTTCTTTAAGGATTAACAGTTCATGTTTCAAATTATGTCACACTATCATCGTTGTTACGTTTTTCCTTTTTTCTTAGGAAGACGTACAAAAAACAAACGATCTCGATGAGAAGATTGCATTATTGAGTGACGAAAATAGACAATTGAAAAATGAAGTGGAAGACCAGCAGGCTGATATTCAGAAGTTAAACGACGAGAAACAAGCATTATTTAAAGCAGTGGAACATCTGAAGAAAAAAGTAAATGTTTTTCTATCAAATCTGAACATATATGGTTTTGTCCGCTTTGGCATAATAAATAAATGTATTTTGGATTATACTGCATTTAATATAAAAGTCAAAACAACAGTTTTGGTATGAAGGTAGTAAGAGTGATTCTTTTAAAATAGTCACGAAAATTGGTATTTCTTGCTAGAATATTATTATCATTATTAGGTTAAAAAATTTTTTTGTTTTCAAAAATGCTGTTGTATTGGCTGTCATTTTTAAATGTTGAGATAAACTATCCATCGAATAATAATTTATTGGGTTTAAAAAAAAATCGAATAAATCTAAAGAAGAAACAAATTTCCTAGGAAGAATCAGAATCAAAGGAAGATGATATGTTGAGCGGGAAGGTAAATTTCCTAGAACGAGATGTGGAAGAAGAAACAGGTTTGAAACCGATAGATATTTCACAAGTTTGTTCTTTTTTTTTTTTTTTTACAACAGTCAAAGTTTGTAGAATTATCAGATCTAATCTAAATATTTTTTTTCAAATGATAACAAAACTTGCCATATCTTGGTCATATCCATACGACAAAAGATAAAAGCAGTGAAATAAATGAATACTTTTGTTTGAAATTGCTATCATTTACGTCTTTAAGAAGAACTAATGATTGCAGTTAGATTCTTTGAAATACAGTTTTTTTTTTTCTTTTGTCCACATTTTTAGGATTTAGATCTTTTTGAAGACGTGAAATTGAAGGAATCATGTCTTTCTGGTAGTAAAGACAGTGCTAAGGAGGAGAATGAAGTACTTGAAGAGCTTCGAAGCAAGTTAAATCTGTAAGTACGTTTAAATGGAGAGGAATGTTTCCTAAGTAAATCTTTGCGTCCCGTTTAACAGTGTAAAATATTCCTTTGTTTTGATCATGAAATTGTAATATTGAAGGGAGTGCTTAGACCTCTAAGCCATTTTAAGCCATCATCATTGCGTTTATTAGAAATGGAAAAAAAGTATGTAATTGTTTTCCATATAGAATTTCAGGATGGAAAATGAAAAACCCTCACTTGTGGCCAGTATGGAATCACTGGAAAAAAATCTACAAGAAATTATAGAAGAGAAGAATAATATGATGAAGGAAATGGAAGATATTCGTATTAACCGGGATAATCTAAAGATAAAAATGGAAAAAATGGAAGTGGATGTCTGTGAAACTCTATGCAGAAATGATTCAAAAGTAGAGAAACTTAAAAAAAAATTAAGAGATCAGGTATTTAATTCATTTGTCAAGTTTTAAGTGGTTTTGGGAAACCTTATCAAAAAATATCGAATAGCAAATCAAAAATCTTGGTAGTGGTCAAGTGAACATTGTACTTCCTTAGAGTCTGATATCGGGATTATATTAAAAATATTTTATTGAGTAAAAGATAGGAGTTTATTCATTCTATGTTTTATCACCCTATTCAGTTCATTTGAAGATAAATTCATTAGCGTTGGTTAGAGTGTCACCATTTTGAGGATTGTTTCTTTTAAGGTTGACGAGACAAACAGCCTACGAAGCGCTGTTATAATTGCTAGAAACGAAATTAAAGAAAGATCATTAAAACTAGATGAAATGGTAACGAAAAATGAAGAACTAGAAGCAGTGAACGAAAAGTTAAGGATTGAATTTCTTCATAAGGTACTTTTTAAATCTTATCATAATTAACTTAACTGCTTTGATAATGAAATATGCATTTCGTGGTACTAATTTTGTCAGTGCAATAATTGATTTTTCTTTAGCGGTTGGAGTGTGATGATAATGGTTCGTATTTTATATTGTATTTTGATCCCTAAAAGGCTCCAAGTCCGAATTTTAGATGAGAATTGAATAATAAAATTCTCTTATATTTCTATTCTTCGAATATTGTTCTGAAAGCAACACATGTATGATATACGATTCCAGGAAAATATCGTGAGTGAACTACAGAAGAAGATAAAAGAACAAGGGATGAAGGAAAATGCTGACTTGGAATTACTGAAGAAAAGTTTAGAAGAAGAACAAAAACGACAACTGATTCTGGAAAATGATCTTACTGAAGCAAAAGAAAATTTGAATAAAGTGAAGATTGAACTTCAAGAGAGGAAAAACAATGAGGAATTTCTCGAAACTGAACTTAACAAGGAAAAAAAGGAGAAGGAGAAGGAGCACAAGATAAGGTTATGCATGTTTCAAGTTGTACTTCCATTTTTGTTCGATAGCTTGGCTTCTCAAATTTGTTTCGCTGTGAACAACTCCTGTAGAAACCTAATGCTTAAACTACTCATGAATTGAAATACTAGGTTTTTCCAGCCAACAGTCGTAATTGCCTCACATCAAACAGGGCTGATAGAGTTCACTTCTTGTTAGTTTCCAGCCAATGGTATGCTTATGTTGTTATAACTTTTAGCATTTTACACTTTTTAATTGTGTTAGACGTCACTGTTTATTCTCTCTACAAGCCTATTTTGAATACGTTTTGAATATCTAATTTTTTGATATTGTTTCCACGTGGTTTTGCATATTTTATTATCTATGAAATTAAAAGGAAAATTGGTAGAGATGTGCATCTGAATTTTTTTTTTGTATTGCAATTATAATTAAGACAATCAGCCAGGAATTCACTTTTGAAAAGTGAATCATCTAGTTCAGTAAATGAGATTGCTGTTCTGCAAAGGAAAGTTTGGTTGTATGCTAGTATATTTTCATTTCATTTTTTTCTTTTAATCGTTTTTTATTTCCTTTTTAGTCATTTTTTCATTGACTTACTCATAAAATGCATCAGAGAATAAGTAACAGTTTAGAAATCAGTATGCTGTTGCACTGGAAAATGCTCAGAGGAATTTGGAAGAAGCACGAAAGCAACTAGGGAGCATGGATTTTGTACGAATCGAGAAAGATCGTTTTGTTACTGAGCTTTCCTTAGCTAGAGAGGATTGCCAGAGGGTCATACAACAATTCAGACAGGTGATTAATTGTTTTTATTTTTGTCAGTTTTTTCCTCGTTTTTATTCAACCGACTGGTTGCTTTTTACTAACCAATCATTTTTTGCTTGTTCTTATGGCATTGCTTAAAGTAAAATCGAAGAAATATCATTAATGTTTTCGCGCATTCAAGAATTAGGATCATTCAATTGATTTTATGAAATTGGAAGATCGCTAATTATTTTCACATTACAGCTTTATCAGATTGTAGGAAAGTGAGCGACGAGCAGAGGAAATAAAGAAGAAAGCGGAGCAAAAAGTGTTGGAAGTGAAGGAACAGTGTGAAACTGATGAAAAAGCTGAGAAGACAGAACTTCTTTTACAGGTTAATTATTAAAAGTATCATGTCTAATATCTGATGAGAATTCTAAGGGATGCTTCGGAAGGAATGCCAAGATTATACAAATATCATTGGTATGATTTTTTTGCCGAGCTATTGATAGGCATACACATTTTGAATTTCTCTATTGTGTGCTGTTTTCAAATTTATATTGCTGGCTTGGTATTCTCAGTATTTTTATGTTCCCTACCATTCCAGATCGAAAAAATGCGATCACAAATAGCTGAAAGAGATTTTCAAGTTGAAGAGCAGAAATTAAATATCAATTCTCTGGAACAAAAGCTTTTTGATAGACAAAATGAAAAAATCATAAATGATTTGCGAGCTACTATCCAAGCGATATCCGATGAAAGAGATATGAAACTGAATGTTAAACTTTCGTTTTTTCCCACCGTGTATAGGCTACACTGGGTGTAATAAAAAAAATTCAGTATCATAATAGTGAATGGCTTCACTATTTCTTTTTTAGGAGCAAAATATTTAAAATTGTTTCATAATACGTATAAATTTGAAATTAGTTATATGTTATCACATCTATCAGTATAAATTGTGTAAATCTAGAATTAGATATCTGCTGCTTTTCGCATTCTGTAGATAATTTCAGAAATGCGCTGAAATGGAAAATCAACTGAATTCTATGGGTACATCTGTAGAGGAAGCAAAGAAACAATTAAAATTACAAAATCAAAGAATTGCTTCGCTACAAGATGAACTAGAAAATGTGAATGCTCAAAATATGCGTTTAAGAGGTAATTAATGTCGAAATTTATCTAAGAATCTGATTGCAGAAAGCAAAGTAGTTCTGTTCACTAATAGTATTTGATTAATCATTCAAATTTTCATGCAAGATTTATCTTCAGAGAGCAATCAAATTGTTGAGCAGCTGGAACAAGAACGAAAAATGCTGTTACATAAGAATGAGCATTTTGAAAAGGAAGTGGAAAAACTACAACTAGAAATTGTAACTATGCAAAAAACTGCATGTGAGGAATCAGGCAAGTATAATTGAGAAATTTGAAAATTGAAATTACCAAATGATTTTTGATGTACTTGTTTATTTGATTCATTTTATATGATGTTGCAGCTAAAGTGGAATCAGAACGACACCGGCTGCTGCGTGATCTGCAAAAAGAAATCAAGCAGTTATATCATGATTTAAACGAACGCACACAACAGCTGAGTGAGACACAATCCAAACTGCAAGTATGATTGTCGAGGATTCTTGAATTAATTTATATGTTATGATCTCTTTCTTTTTATTATATACATAACTATATTTCGAAAAATTATTAATCAATATCTAAAGAGAAGTAATCTAGTTCGTTGAATTGCTGTATCAAAATTTCATGAATGAAGTGGCATGTCCAAGACACCATTGTTCTGAAAATTCTTCAGGAACTGTCAGCCAAAAAAACTAAAAGTGATGAGATTGAAGATGTGGAAAATAGTCACAGGACATGTGCGCGCGGCGAACGTTTAAGGACCAGTTCAGATTTAACTGAGCAGGCAGTATGCTTATTGTTTGTTTAACTAATCCAGATTTTCATATTGATAAGTTAATCGATTTCATTGTTAAGTTTCATTTTTTAATTTGTGTTAGGTTGATTCAGTTACCACTGAATTTTTCCTTCACCAGTTTATGAATTTTTCTTCGTTAATCAGTTGCATTATTAACTTCTTATTTCGATTACAAAATCACAGTTTTTAGATCTGCGGCTTAAGTGTCGGACTCTGACAACATATGAATTAATTTTTGTAAGAATACTTTTGTATTATTCGTGACAAAATCGATAATGGCCATTAATTTATAGGATTATGAAGAATTATATGCTCTGCGGGAGCAAGTGGCAGAATATCAGAAGGAATTAGAAAATGTTAAAGAAGCGCATAAGTGGGCATTTGATTATTTTTACTGACTTAGGAATATCATCAAGGAATAAACTTACACAGTTTGCTTTAATAATACTTTATTTTCATTGCAGAAAGGAATTAACGCTACTATGTAAGAAGACGCACTCTACTGAACAGTTCAACCTTATTGGTTTGGAATCAATCACGAATGGATCTATTTTGGTATATTTATTAATGATTGGTTCAGAATTTTTGTTTGCTTAATTTTAGTACTCTTGAAATATCTCGTCCAGATAGCTATATTTCCTCTTTTGTTACTATAGTACTTTTTATTTGAAATCAGGAAATATGCGTCATTATTTATAGAGAGATAAAGAGGATCTGAACAGTGTTGTCTTCGTAGAGCCTACTGAAGCTGAAGTTAGTTTATTTTTTATTAAATTATGAAATAAATTTCTGAGCTGAGAGCTAGCTGATGCTGTTGCTCAGGTCGTTTTTTTGCGACCATATTAATATGGCATGACTTTCCTTCATCTAAATCCAGTCGTCATTTAGAAGATGAAGCAGTTCCGTGTATCATAATTTATTATTAGTGCTTGCTTATTTTTGATACAATTTGAAGTTAAATATATTTCAGTATTTGAGAAATGTGTTGTATCGATACATGAATGAACGAGAAACATTGGGCAAGGAGAGTGTTGTGAGTTTTTTCTATATTCCACTGAAGAAAATTCCTTTGGAATTCAAGGCGAGATAAAACTCTCATATTGCTTATATTGTATATTTTTGTTATAAGCAGAAATGTAGTATAACATTTGTGGGATGCTGTTTTGTCTACAATGCATGACGCGTACGAAACGCCAGAATCAAACTAGTGCTATGCAATGTTTGTAGAAATATCCGGCTTTGGATGTAAAATTTATGATTTTAATAGCAGTATCTCTTTGCAAATGAATTCAAACTTTGAACTAGTTAGACTGTTTGGATTATATTTCATACTTTTCTTGAGTCGCTTGTACTATTAATTTATTTGGAATTATTTGTTGTAGACATTGGCTCGAGTGATTGCTACCGTAGCGAGGTTTACACATGAACAAGTGAATACAGTGGTGGCAAAAGAGGAGCAAAGGAATCATGGTTGGGTTGGAGGTACCGTACAAGGCTTTATCTCTTCTGCTGCGAATCTATCTTCTCATTAAAACTTATTTTATTTGTGATTTTTATTTTACTGGACAGTGCCGTTCCCATTGTCAATGGAATTGTGCTTCAGTTACAAAATCCACTCTTCAGTGGTTGTGTTTCTAACCGTTTGGTCTATCAACAAGTTTTTTTTTTTTTCTTTCTTTTTTCATTTTCCTTATTTCACCTATTAAAATATGGTGAAACGTAGGATGAGGTGGTGAAAGTCACTTGTTATTGGAAATTGAGGTTACATTGCCATTAATGGTAATTTTCTTTTGGATGACTGTGATTCTTTCTTGATTTCTTAAATTTTACGACTAGATTCTGTGATATGTTCCGCTTTCATTGCGTTAATATATATTTTGGGCCATTTGATTATTCATATCCAATTTTCTTGGTTTAACTACATCCTTGTTTGCTAAGTTGTGAAGTTTTCCTTCACTTTCATTATAGTTCGTGAGCTGAAACAAAAAATATTGAGGTTATTTCTGGAACCCACATATCATTTTTCCATATATTTTCTGATGCCTCCTTTTCGTTAATAATTTCTATCTTAAGCCATTCCACAACTCCTTTGTTAGTGCGTTAGCAAAGAAGAAAAGTGAAAGTTATAGATGCCATCACGTTCTTTCATATTATGAGGTGAGCAAGTCTCTTTGTAGTACTTTTCATATTTCAAGCTTTCAGTGTTATCCATCTTCCGGATTATCATTTTCTTAATTTTCATCAATGGTTAAGCAAGATTTTTTCATTTTTCCAAAATATATTTGTCCAAGGTGATACCTAATTTTGTAATATTCTTTTAAAATCATTGCGAATTTAAACCATGATTTTTTGAAGGGTTATTTTCATTTCATGTCATGACTACTTTTGCCGTTTATTTTTATTTTGGATTTCTTTTTGCGTACCATTTATGACTGTATTCATGCTATTATCATGTCACTGTGATGAACTTACTATCCATATAGCATTGGTATATTTTTAAGCCCAATGTTCGTTCCTAACTTTTCAGTAGGTTTTTGATTAAGTTTTAAGTAATTCTAAAAGTAAGGAGCTCAAAAAATGAATTTGTTTGCTTATTGCTATAAAAAAAAAATTTTCACATGTATATTTTCCGGAGGTGTTTTTGAAATAATTTTGGACCTTAATTAACTTCATGTTTTCCATCAATGATTACGATGGTAGGATACTTGTCGAAGTGCTAGGTCGGAAGTAAGACATAGAGGAATGCGGAATTGATTTCGTGTTTTGCGAAAATATTCAGTTATTTTTGTTGACAATAGAAGGATGTCAATATCACGTATCGATCCCTCTATTATGTATTCTTTAAATCTAAAACAACTGTGATGGCATGGCAGTAATGAAATTATTTGCTGTTATATGTTACTAAAATACTCTTAAGAAATGCAAATATTTTGATTGAACTAAGAATCACTTCCTCGTTGGTTTTCCTAATTTATGCTTTTCTATCTCTGGGATGTTGTACAGTCAATGGCTTTTTAATGTTTTGATATCCTGTTTGAACGTAATTGAGCTGAGCACCGCTCACTTCTGTAGAACCTTTTCATCTTAAAAATGTCTGAATTTTTTTCTTGTCCTGCGTAAAGGTCTAGTATTTTTCTTTAGTGAGTCGTCGATTGCGTTACTATCTCGTGCGTGCGCCGTGAGCACAAACTGGAGAATATATGTATGGATAAATGAACTTTTAGTAACATTGGACGAGGTCACTGTATTATTTAGATGTCAATAGTACTTTGGTTGTTGAGCGTTCCAGTCCAATGTTAGATAGCCTGAAAAGTATATTTGAAACTGTGTGATGTTCTAGATTTCTCGTAGGGATCTTTCGGGAATTGTTTTATTCTTTTCAGTGGTTGTGATATCTATGCTTATCAAGCATTATATTTCTCAACATATAATTTCATAGTATATTGTCCTCACCACTATTGTTGACATGAGGTGTAATCATCTGTCACGTGCACTTACAGTTTTGTAATCGTCATAGAACAATAAGTGCATGCATTAAACTGATAACAGAAGTTAGATATGCTATACTGTCACTTTGTTCGAAAGGGTGAAACAAGATGAAGTTTAGATTTCTTTCAATAAAATTGCTTTGGAATTTGTATTCTCACTGTTTGGTGTAGCAACTGCGTGTTGTCTACAGCGTTTGTAACTGCAGCTGATATTGCTACTCATTTGTGTAATTAATTTTTGAATGGTCAAGCCATTGTAAAGTTTGATAACAATAGTGATTTGTTCATTATCTGATTAAATCAAACAAGAAATTGTGGTTTCTCTTCAAAATTTATCAATTAAACAAATTTCTTTTTTTTTTTGTGTGTGTGTGTGTGTTGTGTTTCTATTATTATAATTATGTCCCCAAAGAGATACAGTGGTAGATTAGGTTCAAGAGTATTGAAATGCCAAATCCTTGATAGTTCATGAGTTGAAGCTGTTGTGCATTACTAACTCACTGGCTGATATTGTACTTTACATGAACTTTAGAGAAATGTGTTTGTCATGATGGCATATGTTTAGTATGGACGGTCGAACCATATCAAATTTAGTTTTATTTGAACTTCAGTGAACCTGTACTACCAATGAGTAAGATGAGAAGAAATGTTAGTGACGCCAAGGAAGGTGCAGAGTGTGTTGAACTGTCATCGGGACATTGCTTATACTATGTTGATCAAGCCACACTGGACAAAAATGTGAAGGAACGAGGGTATCAAGATGATGCATCGTTAGGACAGGTCACACATTCTGATCGTACCATTGGTGTCTATGAAGGTATGTTACGACTCAGACTTTTCACGAATTATTTCTCGTGCGTTATGAAAGTTTTTTAGGTTATATACCACTAGGTTTCGAATTGGAAAACTACTTTTTATTCCTAGCTTTCAATCAAATTACCGGATAGGTCGCACAGAGGTTAGGAAAAAAAGATTTGTGTTTGCAGGTGGATTCAAAGTATGGGAAGGTGCTATTGACTTATGCGAATACATTGATAAACTTCTGGAACCACAAATTTTGAGGGACAAAAAGATTCTAGAGGTAGCTTATCAATTGGAAACATTTTCCCCATGATTTTATTACTTCATACTTTTTAGAATTCATATAACATTTATTATTAATACAGAATTTTAGGTTGGTTGCGGTGCGGGATTACCATCAATTCTGGCATTACAAAAGGGTGCTAAAGAAGTCGTTTTGCAGGATTATGTAAGTTTTGCTAAATTAATAGTGTATCACAAAGAAATAACTTCCTAGTATATAACAGTATTTGATTTCTATAGAATGACGTTGTTGTCAGTTGTTTTACAAAGGCTAATTTTACGATCAATAATGTTAACCTGGAGAATTGCCGATTTTATGGTTGTGACTGGGCCACGCTACAGCAAAAAATAGATGGTCAGAAGTAAGCGAGATTTTTTTTTTTTATCTTAGAGTTATTAACATTTGTACTGAAAAAATAAAAGCAAGTGATATATAGCTTATTAATTTATTTAGCTTTAAGCATCTTCAATATTTGCCCCTCTTTGGACTAATAATCAGTACTTGATATAGTGCTTCTTGATTTGTGAAAGCTAACTATTATAAGTTCCAGATGTAGTAAAGTAATTCATTCGGATTCAAAGAAAGTGGAACAGCAATAATTCCGTTGAAATTAAATTCCGAGGTTTCACATTTTAATCACAAGTCTGGTGCAGAAAATAAATATAGTAGGTTTTTATAAGAGGGATTAGAAGTTTAATTGAAACTGAAAATAAAGATTCAAGAGTTAGCTTCAAATGTTTTTCCCTACTAGACTTTCAATGTTTCGATAGATGTGCAATGCAGTCTCTGCAGTATATAGGTGTAGATACAAAGCAGTGGTCGTATTAGGTTGTCTGTGCTGACGTTATTGGAAATGTGATAAATGTGAAACTTCGGAGTTTAATGACAATAAAATTACTATTCTCTTACTTTTCTGAATCCAAATGAACTATTTTATTACATCTGGAGGTTATAATAGTTCGCTTCCAGCAAATCAAGAAGTACTATATCAATAATTTCTTAATAAAGATAGGAATTAGTAACTTTACAACAATGTTTAGTTTCTGATCAATAATGGATTAGGGTGTTAATTTAATGTTTGAAAAATATAAATAGGACTTATAAGAATAACAGCCGTTCTAGTGTTAGTGCAAAACAATCAAAACGCTTAGACCTGTGGAGGAAAAAGTTCAAGGAAAGTTTTAGTGCAAGAGATTTCCAACATAGTTGATTTGCTAGATAGCAGCTGATTTGGATCATTGATTGCACCTTTGCAACTGTTTCTAATTATCATCAGCATTATCTTTTGATTCATTTCCTGGGAAAATAATGTGCATAGTACGGATTTTTTGAGACAAAGAGTAGTGTATCGTAAAAAACCACTTCCCTCCACTTTATTCTAAATGATCCATTAGCTTATTCGAACATGTGAGAAAGCTGAAAAAGTAAAGCTATACTTTTCTTGTCTTGCTGATTTATTATGTTTTTTGCCTGATCATATTTAAGGTTTGAGGTTGTTTTAACATCTGAAACGATCTACAATGAAGAACATTATGAGATTTTGCACAAATTGTTTGATGTTGTTCTTCCAGCCGATGGATTAATGTAAGTAACTTACTTAAAAATTCATACTTTTTCAGCTACCAATTTTTCAACCAATTTTCAATTATACGGAGTCCAAGGCTACAGAAATTTTATTCCCAATCTTTGATCCTTTTTATGTTGTCAAAAAATGAAGTGGATAGTTCTCCTACATCGTCCTAATATTTCGGGTCAATATTTTCTAGTATTTCTCTAATACTCTTCTTATACTTTCTAGTATGATCCTATTTTTATTTACTCCATTTTTTTTAATGTAAATTTATGTAATTATAAACTTCAGTTTGTTAGCTGCAAAAATGTTTTACTTCGGTGTTGGTGGCAATATACCAAGCTTTCTGGAATATGTGAAAACACGTGGCATATTCGATACATACATATG